AGAAAAACTTCGTACTATTTTTCTAAAATATTTCACCAAGCTACACATTTTTTGTTAAATCGGCCATCTCGTTCTTCCAATTTCTTTTGAAAGTACTCAGAGTACGTCGAAAAACTTTAAATTGTCTCAAATTTCAGGTTTAATATACAGAAACTTGATAATGTTGAATTTTACATTAATTCAGGTGTTTACGACAACAAACATTTAATTTTCTACCCCAACGTAATAGTTCGAACCTAGCTCTGGAATATATTTACCTCGGGCATGCAAAGAAAAATAATTCGGAATTAGTTCTGAACTAGTTCGGATGCGCTTGTTGGATCAAAACTAATGAGTCTCTAAGCTTATACATTTCTAGCGACCGCTAGTTTTACAACCATCGTAAAAAATAGTTTGTTTAAAAAAATAACAGGAAGGAAAATCAAGGTAAGAGGATATGAATATACAGGGTGCGGCAGAGAGGATGGACGGTTTTAAAAAAATCATAAAATAGTTAATTTTTACTTGAAAACAAATTTATTGATGGAATCAGGTTCACAAGGAAATAGCATTTGAGACAGTCAAGTGTGGAAAATCACATCAGGCATGTGGTGGCCGAAATCGTTGATGCAGTGCTGGAGGCATTCTTGGAAGTTCGCGTAGACTTTCTCCAACATCGCTCTCTCAACTTGGGCGACTTCCACTGCGAACTTTGCCCTCCAATTCGTCCAGAGTTCGGGGCTTGTTCGCGTATACTATAGCCTTGAGGTGTCCCCATAAGAAAAAGGAATGGATAAATCTGGGGACATCGCCAAATCTGGAAATAAGGCGACCAGGGAAGAGAGGGCGAATAACGTCCATGGATGCTCGGGCTGTGTGGGCGGTCGCCCCATCCTGCTGGAACCGACGTGTGTCGCATTGGAACACGTCGCCGTCGTAATTCAGGGAGAAAGAATTTGGTGATCATGTCGACGTAGCGCTCTGAGTTCACGGTAACATCACGACCATTACCATCTTCGAAGAAGAAGATTTTGGGCTGTGCAGCGGTCTTTCGTGTAACTGTTGCGGATTTTCATTAGCCCAATAACGACAATTCTGCTGGTTCACCATGCTGTTTAGGTGAAAGTGGGCTTCGTCACTCATAAACAAAATGAGGTTCTCATTTTGATCGATCAGTGCTTCCATCTCACGTGCGAAGTTCATTCGTTGTGCATAATCTCCGGGCTGTAACTGTTGCACAATGGCCAGTTTGTAGGGGTGAAAGCGGAGATCCATATGCAAAATTCGCCTTACCGAACGATCACTAAGGCGAAGTGCTGCAGCATGTTTCCGGGCAGATCGAGTCGGACTGCGAAGAAAGACCTGTCGAACGCGTTCAACATTTTCAAGAGTTCGAACGGTTCGCGGCGCTCCTCTTGGTCTTCTGTTGATCAGTTCACCACGCCTGCGAAGTGATTCAACCCAACGAAGGATGGTGTTTCGAGAGGGAACAGCTCTATTCCGATGAATGTTGAAGTGGCGACGAAACTCACGCTGTACGACGATGACTGACTCATTATTTCGGTCTCCACCGTCTAAGGCTCCATAACGAAAACTGATAAAATAATGCTAGGATCTCACGAGTCAAACGGCACCCTCCCCACCTCTCTCGTAGACGGAGGCGGAGAGTACTATCCATTCCAAAAACGTCCGTCCTCTCTGCCGCACCCTGTATAATTCAGATGTCAATCTGTGTGGCAAGTACCGACTCAATCTAAGTAACGTTATTTTTCATTCTTTTCGTTGGGGTGGCTTCTGCCTATACTTTAACACGGGAAAAGGGGAAGACAGAAACATATCCATATGTGCTTGGTGGTGAAAAAAAAAATCGTATTTGCCATCGAATAATAGAACGCATACTTTGGCTGTAACGCACAGCCGGATTTTTTGCAGTTGGCACTTTCTATTACTCCTTGAATGGTATGAATTGCTACTGAAATATGATTATAAACTAAAGCAGGGAAATATTACAATGGGGAGGCAAATACAAAAGGGGAAGCAAGCAATGGCTCATAACTGTACAACATAAATTTGTTCTCGAGTCATTTGGTGACGTGGTTCGGATTTCAACTAGTTCCAGTGACATACTGCAAGGGCAAGAGTAGGGCTTGGAGGTGGAGTAATCAACCATTGTTCGTCCAGATCTTCATAGGGTTTCATATTCTGTATTGGAAAAAGAATAGGCAGATGCCTAAATACCAGGGCACCGCGGCTGCTATAAGGAGCTTAACGAAACTGTTAGTCCGAACTGCCTAAGGTTAATCGAACTGGGAAGAGCCTCTTCAGGTCGGTTTTGCCACAATGTCGATCCCCTAGGACACACGGAGCGGTCTTATCGGCCAGTTCTTGATGCACGAAGTCCGACACGGTTAGGTTGGGAGGTCGACGCCAGACGGATCTGTCTGGCAGGCTCATCGCGCGGCGACATCGTGGCCAGGTATTTCAGTGCCTGAACAACGCCTATGTATCTCCACGTTGGCACAGACAGGGTTCAAGGAGTATTTTCGCTCCAGCCTCAAGATCACTAGTAAATAATAAAAATAATAATAAAACCTCACTCCGTTCTCGTTCTCACAAACGAGGTTATTTATCCATCATAATAGACACATACGTCAATATTTATTTTTATCATTTTTACTATATCAACTAAATACCTAACATACCAACATCAAAATGATAGTTACGAGGGGTCTTTTAAGTTTTGCATCGAACGTCAGTACTGAATCTTAACCTCACTCTTTAGTAAACTTAAATTCAAAGTTTCACAACAATACGTGCAGTGTTCTCATTACAGTGAATTTTTAAGTGTCACCAAGTCATTAGAACATTTTCGCGCCATAATTTATTACAACTTTCAGAGACAATTATTATCGCAACAAGAATGCCTTGCTGAGTTACTGTCTGTTTTCGGCAACGAAGTGCCACATCAGTCGACAATTTCCCATTATTGAAGATTGAAATGTGACATATCGCGAGATTGAGGTATCCTTGAAGATCTCAAAGACCTCAATTCAAAAAATTTTACATGAGGAATTAGGAGTAAGAAAATTAGTTTCTCGTTGGATACCCCACCTGTTGACTGAAGAGCAGAAAGCAGCCAGGGTTAATTGGTGTCAAAAAACGCTTGACCGTTTCAATTCCGGAAACTCAAAAAATGTGTACAGCATTGTTGGTGGTGATGAATCGTGAATTTACTGTTATGAACCAGAAAATAAACGACTGTCGGCTGTTTGGGTGTTCCAAGGTGAATATACCACCATTTTTTCCCAAAAGTCATCACCGAGCTTCGAAAAATCAACCCCGAAAGAAGAATCATCCTCTACCAAGACAACGCAAGCTCGCACACAGCCCAAAAAACAAGGCAGTATTCAACGGAAGAAAACGTGGAATTATTGGACCATCCTCCATATAGTCCCGATCTAAGTCCTAAAGATTTCTTTACTTTCCCGAAAATTAAAAACAGACTGCGTGGTCAAAGGTTCCAGTCACCAGAAGAAGCAGTTGACGCATTCAAAAATGCCGTTTTGGATCTGCCAGCAAACGAGTGGAATAAGTGCTTCGAAAATTGGTTCAAGCGCATGCAGATGTGTATTAATCTTCGTGGAGAATACTTCGAAAAACAATGAAGTCATTTAAAACTACCTACCGTCTTGTTTTATATCCATATGCAAAACTTAAAAGACATCCCTTGTAGAGCAGTAGAATGATATTTCCAAAAGACGAATTTTTATCGTCTCTGTCTCTAGTCTTTCCTTCTAATTCTTCTGTTTTGGATCAGGTGAACATGTTTTTCTGGAACTTTTTGTATATCTTAGTACAATAGGGTTTTGTAGGTCGATGGTCTGGTTCATTTTCACTGTAAGTCGTAAACAGCACGAAGCATACGCCACAGGCGCATAGCTTTCTGGTAGAGTTGGTAGCTGGTGCCATGTGACGTCATCACGCAGACTCAAGCTCCAAAAAGGTAATTTTCCGAATAAGAAACTTTTGGATAGCGTAACTTTGTAATTTTTTAAGATATTCAATACGTTTTTCAGTGCTGTACTTCACTTTATTCACTATAATCTTAAGTAAACAAGAAACTTATCTGGGGAGGCAGATATCTGAACGTTTACGTTATTTAGAAGACGTCAAATCATGAAAACGACGTGGGACACAAAATTGTATTGACAATAGAAGTTTGAAGTCCTATAGGCCTTTTATCAATATTAAATCTAAACTTATCTCCCGTTTCCGTACGTCTCTGGCGCGTCACCCCATACTTTTTATTGCTAAATCTTAAATATTTGATATTTCAATTTAACCTTCCAAAACACATGTGTCTCTTCCATTCAGGTCCTTACGTATCATACAAATATACTCGATATGAATCATCCCAAGTACAGGGAGACATAAAATGGTGTAATCGTGTTTACTTCCCACGAATGATAGAGGAAATTTTTTGTTCACAAAAATTTCATCACTAAAACCGGAAATTCCAGCCTACATCCCACATCATAATAATGGTTTCGTTCCAGCAAAAGAATTTTTGGTACAGTTTGCTGACTGGTTCCGTACTCTTTCAAGCGCATGCGCTAGATGCGGACTGTTACTGACTATATTCTGATTTTATCCTTGTTGGAACGAATTTCAGACTGATCGCTGGCAATGTCAACTGTCGTCGGAGCCGTCAAAAGTCAAATTCAGCAGGGGGAAATTCAAAACTGGGGTCATAAACAGTAGAGTATACGTCTTAATAATTAGCAGTAAAAGAAGTTGAAAACAGTGAAACAGAAGTTGAAGATGAATAATATCACAAATAATATGATAGGTCGAGTATAAACACAATAGTATCGGGCAGGTTCAGGCGGTGCTGCATGCCTGTTTTGATCAGCGTAAAAAATCAATGCATTCAGCAAAAACCGAGTAGCAGAACTCAGCAACTGGGACCGCCTCAATGTGATCATTTGGTTAACAAATAATAATAAAATTACTTTTTTCAGATATAAGCGAATTCCTAATTGTCACACCGCAGGATGGGAATAGACTTCAAGTCACTGAAATCAAAAACGGACAAGGAATTCAAATTCACACAAATACTACGATAGCAGATGGAAAACGCAAACCCTAAACACCAGAAAGGGGAAATTTCTAGGTTAGAAGCTACTACGCATGCGTCTGATTTGTGGTTCAGAGAGCGTACGTCGGACTTTTCTGATAGTTCAGGATCGGTCCGTAAAAATCACCAAAACTTGTTGGAACAACAAACTGACAGTACGGAACCGAATCCGATTTTTAGTTGGAACGGTTTAAGCGGAATGCGCATGCGGCTGACGATTTAAACCGTCCGTGATTCTTGTCGGAACGAATCTAATAACACCAGCACTGATTTTTTCTAGAAAATACAAGGAACTTTATGACATCAGTTTGGGAAATATTTTCAACAAGATAGGAAATAAATTGAACGCAAACATCTATAATACGGATCGAAAAGGCTTAGGAGTTATGAAGTATCCTAACAGCATCAAGTAAACAAGTTTCCGATGTTTGGAAAGAAAACTTTCCGAAGTTACTAATGGACTTATCAGCGAATAATGAACAAACTGTTATTTATGGAAATAATGAAGCCTGCTGGAGATTATAATTTTTGCAGAAGAAACTGAAACATCGTGATGTTTCATTCTTTATGCCTTGAGCTAATAGACCAGGGAACCCCGATTCATTACATATTTAATAATATTTTTATGTTTCTTAAATATTTGTTTTCTTAAACGATATCCTTTAAATATTTTAAATACAATATTTCTTTTATAATATTCATTAACTATTTACTTTTCAATCAATAGAAAATACTAAATCTCCAATATTTGGAAAATAGTCATTAAATATTTTCGGCTACGGCGCATGTGCGTGTAACCTCGAGCGACCAATAGGATAATAGCAAGCCGGCCTGAGGCGACCTGTTTGCCGGCATCCATTTTACCTGTGACTTTCACTATGATAGCGTACTTCCTGTGGACCTCCAAGTGGTTCATTATTTGAGTGTTTTTTTTGTGGAAAAGGGTAAGTTTTTCGATAATTACATAGCATAATTTAACTGACTAGTAAACATTATTGTGCCAACTGAGTATGAAGGTATTCACAAGACCATAAATAATGGAAATGTAACAGTTATTTGGTATTGATGGATTTATCTGAGAATGGATACAAAAATTATGTTCATAACATCCCAATGAAAAGACATATAATCGCAACTTAATCGAGATACATCAAAAATCCTTTTTTTAAATATCTCAATTATTATTATTACTTTTGTCGTATAGTACGTGAAAAAATTTTAACAGTCGAAAATACTAGACTTTTGTCCCTTGAATTATAATATAAAATCACAAAATAGTTATGTCTAAGTTAGCTCCCTTACTAAAAAAGTCAAATTTCAACAAAATCAATGAGTGGTATGTTTTTAAAAACCTTTTCTTTAAAAGTTAGTCAAAGGATCAAGTTGTGCCCAAGGACATTTTTCATCAAGATATCTAAGATAACATACAAAAATTTCTTAAAAATGAACCAAATCTCGAACTATCGTAGACAGAGAATGTGGGGTCCTTTTAGGTGCAGTGACCCAGTTGAGCTACTCGAAGTAACTCACCATGCTCAGCACCAATATTGTTCCACTGCATTTTATATTCCCATAAATACACTGGAAAGCAGCTTATGTATTCAATAATACTACATGATTAATAACGATTTTTACCGACAACTGATAATGAGCCATGGAGCCCACTCCAATACGGATTTGTTAATAAGCAGATTTGTCGTATCTCGGCATTAGCGAACCCTCGTGTCATCCATCAACCACCACTACATCCTCGTCGAGTCACAGTTTATAGAGGTGTCATCGGACCTTATTTATTTGAAGACGCTGCGGGTAATTCTCTTACTGTGATATGGTGCAAAACTTTCTGGCTCTTCAACAATTTAACCTGCAGAACATGTGGTTCCAAAGGGACGGTGCAACTTGTTACACAGCTAGAGAAGCAATGAATCTTTTGCGAACAATATTTCCGGGACGTTTAATTTCTGGATTTGGTGATGTCAACTGGCCACCAAGGTCACCGGATTTAACAGCTCTTGACTTTTTTAAAGAGATTTTTGAAAAATAGGGTTTATACCAACAAACCAAATACTGTAGAGCAGCTCCTCCAGAAACCTATCAAAAAGTGATGAAAAATGTAATCAAGAGGGCCCAGGTTTGCACGGCTTCTAGAGGCGGACATTTGTCTAATATTATTTTTCGTAAATAATATCTAAGTTTTAATAAAAGCTTAAAATGAAAAAAATGGGCGTATTTTACTTCATTTCTCAAATATTCAAGATACAAACCAGTCAGCTATCAGCCCTGGTGATTTTACGCACCTATCGGTACATATTTAACACATCAAAGATGTTCCCGTATATTTGTCCTTATTACTTAGGGAAATATTTATAGCCAAGACACGCTGTAGGCCGGGACGATGAGATGCAACAGCGACTTTCATACGCCTACGCCGATCGTGGGTGACGCTTATGACGTGCTTGCCTGGTGTTGTCCAGCAGCGTTGCCAGATGGTCTGTACTTAGGGCAGAGAAGAAACATTTAGTTATTATTTGGTTATACAGACTTGTAGCTAACTCAGAGGGGCTGAGATGGGATAAACATAATCCTTTATGAAGTAACGACAGCGTTGCGAGGGAAGTGAAGAGTCAATCGACTTGTAGCCATTTTTTAATAAATAAGTACTAGGTATGATAAAACTGCACGCGCCTTTGAAAATCATTTTCAGATAGAGATATCATTAATGGCAGGATGCATTCCTTATATCAAAAATGCTGCAAGCTACAGTGTAGACGTTTCCGTTTTTTTGTTCAAGCTGATAAACCATTTTTATCCGTCACATATAAATATAGATATTAGTCATTACTCTTCTAAATATAGGTTGGAAAATTTATCATGGAATTTTGAGCTACAACTCAAAGATATCCAAATTTGAGGATATAGAAAAATGTTAATCCCCCTGAAAAAATGTTTAGTGCACCTGAACTGAAATATTTTTCCAAAACATTTATATTATAAATGAAAATGAAATAAAAAATGAGCTATAAAAGGACGGTCAAATCTGGAACTCAAAAAACATTCAGAAATAAGATTGACTACGTTCAATATTCTGGACCCCTCTTTTTTTCACTACGCCCCAAAACCTATCAGAAACGTTCGGAACGAAGTTGTTATTTCAAATGCTTGTCTTATCTAGAAAAAACATTGAAGCAGCCGCGTAGGCAGAAATCTAAATACCGCGGCACCGTGGCTGCTGTGAAGAGCTTAAACACATTTGATTGGGCAGATGGTTCCAGAATTTCGACACCCTAGGGACAAAGGAGCGGTCGTATCGGCCAGTTCTGGATTTACGAAGTTCGACACGGTTAGGACGGGAAGCTGAAGCCGGGGGAGGGTCCCGAGACTGTCCGTTAAGGAAGAGCCATCAATCAGTGGGTCAGCCCTCCGCTGAACAGCATTGAGCATGGGCAATGTAGCTCGGGCGGCAGCACCCCAAGCATGTGAACAGTACTCGACGCTAGGTCTTATCTGGGCCTTATACAGAGTGAGGAGGTTATATGGTGGATCGGATTGGTCCTTCAGGAGGTCATAGATATGTAAAAGGAACAATTTAAGATTCAATACTGATCCCTGGAGAACACCAGCGTTGACTTTGTACGATGAAGAGGAGAACCCGTTAATTACGGTGGATATCTTAGAGAGGAAGTCAGTGACCCATCTGCAAAGCTTCTCGGGGAGGCCATACGATGGAAGTTTGCATCAAATTAAAACATTAAAATTACGATTTTGGTAATCACTCAAGAAATAGATAAATCATAAATCAAAAGACATGAACACAGAAGAGACTATAATATTTTTATTGTGTATTTTCCCCCATGTTCATCAAGGTAATGCATGTAGTATTCCTATTAAGTTGTATTGTGATATTAGAACATTATCTAATAATCTACTATTCCTAAAATCAATATTTCAGTAGGATAAGAGCCGATTTACCGGTGGTCGGAGAGCTTAATAGGACATTCGAAAATCACACAACAAGCGGCCTCTCTTGATGACTGTTCGTACTAACGGTTTCTGAGAAAAGCTCGCTGTCGTGTCGAGTTGGTTGTTCCAAGTTCATGGCATGTATGATACAAAAATAATTCAGACGTTAGTCACGTTGAAAAATTGATAAGCTTATCAGAATGGTGATACTGCATATAGGTTTATCTAAACAAGCAAACAATCAGTCAGGAGCAGAGGCGTCATGATCCAAAAATGTTCATTGTGGATGAACTATTTCGTTTTCCCTGATTCAGTTCAGTCTTTCTTAGGTTTCGCCAGAAAAGTATCGAAGTCCGAATCACAGGACTACTTAAGACGGTGGTCTCTCCGCGAATTAACAACAGGAGAGTCGTGCAAAAGGAGCCACCTTAAGAAGCTTTTAAAATCTTCTATTAAATCCTAATTATTATTTTTTTTATGGAAAATAAGACTCTATCACATTTAGGAACAAAATATGTATTATACAAATATATAATTATAGTAATATATCCTTAAAAAGCATTAAACGAAAACTTGCTTTTGATTCCTTTTGCCCACATATGAGGGCAATAAGAACCAACGCCTTGGACAAAAGTAATAAGTGTATGAAATGCATATGAGCAAGAAGAACTTTATTTCAAACATAACTAAAAATGGAAATCTATTAACAGTTATTTATTTCAAGGAACTCAAAACTGATATCTTGCAATTGTACGAAAATATACGAGCCCCTTTCCACTTCAGTTGGCCCAACTATTGAAATCTTAGTTTTTTCTTATCAAACACAAATAATAAAAATGTAGCAGGGTGTTATAGGTTTAAAATATTAACAATGAATATTTTGATAATATATAGCAGAAAACACCAACTTTATGACTCCCTAATCAAATTTGCAGCATAAAAATAACACGTGTTGCAATTACAGCATATCAACCTATTTTCATTTCAATGCAAAATAAGTCTATAACGCATAGGTGGCTGTGAAAAATAAAAGCCATGACAATTGTTTTAAGAATACGTTTAAAATAGTTTTGGGTAGTTAAGGTTTTCAAAATGGGTAGAGGTAAGGTTATTAGTGAGAAAATTCGGTTACTGATAATTAAATTTTTTAATTCTGGAAAATCAAACCCAGAAATTGCTACTTTGTTAGACTTATCGCGGTACAGTGAGAGAAATATTGTTAGAAGATATAACGTAACTGGTTCAGTTAATATTAAGCGACGATATGTGAAAAAAAATAATATCACAAATGCCGACCGAAGAGCATTAAGAAGAATAATCGTGAAAAACAGGCGTGCCAATTATTTACAATTAAGTGCTCTGTGGAGTGACGCTGTTGGAAGGAGAATTTCGAGGTCCACAACTTATAAAGAGGCCCACAAACTGGGATTTAGCACTTGCAAGGTAAGTTTTCTTATAAAATAGTGAAGTAAAAACCCTAAAGTTGCACAACTTGTTTATAGGCCAAAGAAAAGCCACTATTAACTCCACTGCAAAAGAAAAATCGGCTTAGATGGGCTAAAGAACATAGACAATGGACACCTCAACAATGGTGTGCAATACAATGGAGTGATGAGGCCAGATTCGAAGTTTGTGTTGGTGACAGTCGCAGTAGAGTTATTCGCAAAAAATGAAGCATTTCATGTTGACTGTCTGAAGAGAAAAGTGAAATTTCCAGCATCCATTATGGTCTGGGGCAGTATGTCATCAAAAGGACTAGGAAAACTTCATTTTATTGATGGAAATGTGTATACAAACAAATATTTGGCAATTTTAGAAGAATCGCTTTTACCAGTGATGGAAGAACGTTTCACATCCGGTCAAGATTTTGTGTTTCAGCAAGATGGTGCAGCGTGCCATACCTCAAAAAAGGTTATAAAATGGATGGAAGAAAATAATGTACCACTTTTGAAATGGGTTTCTGGCAGTCCAGATCTGTCACGTATTGAAACTTTGTGGCACGAGATGAAAAAGGTTCTACGACAACATCCTGGTCGTACAATCACCGAACGAAGACAAAAGCTTCAAGAAATATGGGATTGTTTTACACCAAATTTTTTCCTAAACTTGGTTAACACTGCCCCAAAGAATTTCAGCCGTAATAAAAAATAAAGGTGATGTTACCCAATGGTAATCTTTCAATTGTTGCTTTGTTAACTTCGCGCATTTATTCGCACATTGTTTATTTGTTCAGATGTTCTATTAGTTATAGGTCTAAGTGATTTCAAATATATATTTTTTACGACTAGAGTGTATCTAAAATGTTTTTGAGAAAATAAATTGTTTTGGAAGTAAATAGTTTCGTCATGTTCAGTTTATAAAGGCATATTTTGGTACAAATCTTGGATTCATCATTTCATGAAGTGGTCAAGCATTTCGTGAAATGTATCACTGTCTGTTGGCCAGATCATGATGTGTATTGACCAGATGAATCATTTAACAATATGATCAACTAAGCGCACGGCTATTTCATGCATTGGTCTAGCATGTTTGATCAAATCGTAAAATAAATACATTAATTTATCGATAGAGGCGCTGGGAGCGCTTCTTTACATTCAAACACGGCGGTCGTTAATAAAAATGTTGTTTTTTTTTAGTTCAAATTCTAATAATTCGTCACCACATGAGGAATAAAATGAGATTACAAGATACTTGAGTACTATGAAGGTCATGCAAACACTGGCCAAAACGTCAAAAAGCTGTGGAATTTGAGATGTGTTTCACAGGTTAGTACTTCACTCTTAAATTACATTATCATTCACTTATTTGAAGTCGTATGCCAGCCAAAATATTGTATTTGTTTGTTAAACTACTATAGATATTTTACGTATCCAAAAATGTTCAATAACTTAATTTGTGATATCTCTGATATGTTCAACAATTTTCGATATTTGTAAAACACTGCGCAATTTGAAATTCTTTTAAAATAATTATTATATCTTACTTTCCTTCTGTACTTAAAGAACAATAAACGAGTACCTAACATATTCTGGATTTTTATGAAGTATTCTATGGTCATCACGATTGACGTTAACGATTTTGCGATATGTTCAAATTTAGGTTGGTCATTTCATGAAATGGTCAATCCTACGATATGGCCATGACGTATATGCATGAACCTTATTTAAATAGGGTGCTAATAAAGTATCTGCTCAAACTTCAGGTTGTGATTCCTCGACTGGTTCTAAGACGAAAAGTTATGTTCGATTAAGGTCTTTAGAGTTATTCATTTTTGAAGAAATATCAATCATACTTTAGTCGGTTCACTTACGATTTGTTGTACTTTCGTGTGGACAGATATAACAGAAAATACCAGATGAGCTTAAAAGTTTCTGAACTCTACATGAAAAAAAAAGTTAGGTGATCTCTGAAAATACGTTTACTCTTCACTACAACCTTCCTTGAGTTTGATACATTTTTTTCAGCGGTTTTCTACTTGATTTATCCCTTCTCTGAAATGCACCAATATACCCTTGTGCCTAATGACTTCTTCACTTGAACTTAGTAAGGCATGGAAACAAATGAAAGTCAGAATATATTGAATCTGGTGCAAAGACTGGATTTTCAAACAATACAATTTATATCGAATAAGACGAAGGCGTCAATGGAACCCAACTGGAAATTAAACAAGTTTAAATCCGGTTATCTAGATGGCCATAGTAGATAGGGTTTTTATGTTCTGGGACGCCCTTGATCGCCGACCTTCGGTATCAAACGACCTTGAGAGCTGTGAAATGTGACCGGGTGACCTTGAAATGGGTCCTTTGATTGTGACCTTGTGTTTCCGAGTGACCTTGAACATATATGACCTCGAACAATCTCGACCTTGAGTGGGTGTGACCTTGTAGGAGTGAACGACCTTGAGATGTAGAGGTTGGAACCGAAGGTCAGCTCTCAAGGTCGTTTGGCACCGAAGGTCGGCGCTCAAGGGCGTCCCAGAACATACAAACCCTATCTACTGGCCATGACCATTTGTGGGCTTAATAAAGCGCATTTATTGGGCGATTTTAGTTGAATTTCTTTCCACATGGGAATTTTTCATATTATTACTCTCGAATGTTGCTGGTGCGTTTCTTTATATTCTGGATAAACTAGTTCCATTTTCCATTTTCCATATATCGATATTTGATGTCCTTTCACTCTAATATTCATTGTCCACTATTATCGGTGGTCATCAAAACAAGGATTATTCAGAGCTGTTACAGATGTACAGGTATACTGTAAAAGCTTTGTTGTGTATTTTCAAAAAGACGCGTATTGTACATATATCAGATTCGTGTTATAAACCATAGTAAATATACATGAATTCTGTTTAATGTTTTATTGTAGTACAATATTACCTAGGATGGTAGTTCGCACTTTCACAAACAATTCGAGTATTTTGCCATGTTCCGAGTAAATTGAACAAAACTCACTCGTAATTTTCGAAATTTCATCTAAAACTGACCTTCAACCTGGCCAGGAGTAGATTTCTGTTAGTGCCGCTTGTGGCATCAGTTCATATACATGATTGACTCTACACTTCCCACGCCTTAAGAACAACTACTAGCACAATTTTCTTTCTGGTGCAATGGCATCAAAAGCACAAAGTAGTTTTGTCAGAACCATTAGTGCACTATTAGGGCTTTTCATGGAAAAAAAATTCTCAAATCGCCGCAATGGGCGGGTCCGTACACGGTAGCCTCAATTTTTTTTGGAGCTGCGGTGTAAAACTGTTTGTGAACAATCTTTTGACAACTGACTATAATAGCTCTCGGTACGTACTCATATACTAGATATACTATACAAAATAATATTTTCTCTCGAAATCAAGTTCTTCATTAAATTATACTCCAAGCATATAGACAATCGTGCCCACCTCGTATGCGTATATCGCGTCTGCTACCTGCTTTTAGAAGTCCCTTGGATCCATTACGGACTCGATAGGTAAGGTGAATATGCCAGTAGCCGGGCAGTTTAGATAAGAATAGAACACAAATGTAATTATGTTGATAATATATATATATATATATATATATATATATATATTATATGTATAACAAAAAGTAGGAAAATAATGATGAAAATCCGCAAAAAGGAGGACAGTGGATTCGAGCAGAAAATAGGATAGGTAACCCGAGCGATACGTATTTCTGCTGGTTGGCTTCATGCACATATGAAACTACAAAGGAAGATACACATGCCCACACATCCGGATACGGGTGTAACCTGAGGAAACGAAGACGGAGAGGGAAAAAACGACACACAAAGTCCACAACAAGAGCCAACCTATACATTGTAGTATAAAATAACTAGAAGACCTCGAATTTTCAAGGAGACATCTAACCACAACCACACGGCCTATCCTATTTTCTGCTCGAATCCACTTCCTCCTTTTTGCGGATTTTGCCCATTATTTTCCCACTTTTTGTTATATACCTTTCACCGCATGATAATTTTCTCTTTGTAGATCCTTTGGGCTGAAGTACCACAGCAAGTGGCTATAACCGGCCGCGTAGTTGTGGTTAGATGTCTCCTTGAAAATTCGACGTCTTCTAGTAATTTTATACTACAATGTGTAGGTTGGCTCTTGTTGTGGACTTTGTGTGTCGTTTTTCGCTTTCCATTTTCGTTTCCTCAGGTTACACCCGTATCCGGATGTGTGGGCATGTGTATCTACTTTTGTAGTTTCATATGTGCATTCATTTCGGGCCTGATGAAGCCAACCAGCACAAATACGTATCGCTCGGGTTACCTATCCTATTTTCTGCTCGAATCCACTTGCTCCTTTTTGCGGATTTTGCCCATTATTCTCCTACTTTTGGTTATATACCTTTCTCCGCATGATCATTTTCTCTTTATATATATATATATAACCAAACCAAAAAGGTGCTATTTGGCCAGTACTCGGACAGCATTTGATTGGCAAGACAGAACTGTATTTAAAAATTTGAATCAGTAGAATAGAAATTTCAAGACAGTTGTCATTAAGACATTGAGGAAAAAGAATTACATACACTCATACTGAATCCTGTTAATATAGATATTTTTATCGAAAATACATAATAACTACATACAAACGAATAAGTGTAGGACTTACGTTTGAATATCGCGCCTACTTTATATATTTCGAATCTAATTTATGGTCTCATTGAGCTGTTGACGTTTAGACTTGACTAACACCGCATGAATGTCACTATTCCTTTATTGCTCTATGATTTTTGACTTCTGAAACGCGATGTCAATTATGTTTTGTGGTTATGACGTGTAGCTTTTGATTTTACGGAATTTGTAAAATAAATCCTGTTTTTTTTCATCAAGCTCCTACCAGTAATTTCATACCCTTTCGACCAGCCCCTACAAAAGAAACTAATTTTCCATTTAATCCGGTCCTGCAGTGTCTATTTTAACCACCATACTGTTCACATATTTTAATCATTTTCCAAACATTTCTCACAGCTTTCTATCTCCTTTAATCCGTCTTCACTATTTATGCATTTATTTCTTTTTTCTTGGTATCCGTTCCCGAAAGAAATGAACATATGAAATTTTATTTAACACTCTCATGAAAAATAGCAGGAAAATGGAAGTAGCCGGTTGTTGGGATGCTACCGAAATTCGTTCATTTCAGTAGTCGGTGACAATATCACTGGCAATACATTATTTTTGTTATATTTCGTTGTCCGTCCAATGGCTGGGGCTTCAGTAGTATTTTGGTTTGTTTAATTCCAAGATATAAATTTGATAGTGTCTACTGTTAGACAAAAAAATATAGGTTTATATCATCCACACCTGCCCGACTATTGAATTTTGACAAGTATGATGATCCAGTCAGCGGCCACTCCTATTTGATCTCAAAATATTAAGATTAATTTATTTCGTAAGTTTTGAGTATCTTGTGTATATGTATATTTCAGCTGACGATTCCACTTGCCTTCTGCTGTCAATATTTTCCAAGGGCGAGGAAATGTTTGATTTTTGAAATATGTCTAACAGTTGTATTAATGTATTAATATAAAATAACAAATAGCGATACAAAAATGATCAGGAATCATCATCTAAAACGTCAAAAAACAAAGTGTGCATGAAAATTTCATCCAAATCCGAGCAGTACTTTCCAAGTTACAGACGGGTCAAGGATTTGTGGACAGAGAGACAGATAGACAGACAGACGGAAATGAGTGGCCTGGTTTTTAATGTCATATAACAGTCAAAAAAGGTAATAATTCGTTTTCGAAATTTTTCGCGATTACTTCTTCGCCAGTAAGCGTGGTAAGTAAAAATGAATGTTCTGCTTTTGATCACCCTGTGATGACAATTGTTGCGGTCTATTGTGAAATACCAGTGTTAAATTTCCACTTCCTTGAGGCTTATTCCTTGAACATGCAAGGGTTGATCAACCTTGCGTCGGCACCTAACCCTCATAAATGTGAGCTTGAACCCCTGTAGGAATTTTGAACCAAACTTTCACCGGTAAAATATACAAACGAAAATTAAATCTACCTGAATATAGATTATAAGAATATAGGTATGGGTACCTACCTAGGAATAAGGCACTATTTAACAAGTGATAAATGTACCTAATTGTTTTCATATTAAGAATTAATGTGACCTAAGCACGTTAAGTCCCAGGTACAATAAATCTATATCTTTTTCCATTGCCAATATGATCTATTGCCTGAATGAGTGAAACATGTAGTCTCCATGTAGTAGAAGAGTGGGACAGATTAAATCAATATAGAATTATTTTCTCCATAGACGTATCATCAAACATTCCACGGGTGTCTGTGTTTAAAAATTTAAATAATTTGTTTAACAGCCTTGTACCTTGGAGCTGTTCGTTTATCATTATGTGTTTTGATAGTGAAAAAAGTATTCAACAGGGCTGCAATTTTCTAGATACTTGGAAGCCTGCTTTTCCAGCTGTCTTTTGCATGAAATTTGTTCGTTCAGATGTTTGCTTGAAATTTCATCGAATAAATACGTTTTTTGTTTCAGTCGCGTAATTAGGACCCCTCCCAGTTGCCTAAGCCTATCCCCTATTCTTTTGAAACCCCTTTCCAAATTCTAAAAGGACAATGGGGGGAAACTAGTAAGATTAACGGAGTCCTTTAGGATTTGCTGATATTTTCCGAAATAAGAAGATGGGGTAGCAGAAAATGTAGTGTACGTCTGCAATTTTTATCGCTAACGCATTAGATACTGTGTATGTCTTAACACATTAATACACATCTGCATGCGCTCGAACCAATTTTCGAAGCACTTATTCCACTCGTTTGCTGGCAGATCCAAAACGGCATTTTTGAATGCGTCAACTGCTTCTTCTGGTGCCTGGAACCTTTGACCACGCAGTCTGTTTTTAATTTTCGGGAAAGTAAAGAAATCTTTAGGAGTTAGATCGGGACTATATGGAGGATGGTCCAATAATTCCACGTTTTCTTCCGTTAAATACTGCTTGTTTTTGGGCTGTGTGCGAGCTTGCATTGTCTTGGTGGAGGATGATTCTTCTTTCGGGGTTGATTTTTCGAAGCTCGGTGATGACTTTTGGCAAACAAATGGTGGTATACCAATCCGCAGTAACAGTTCTTTGCTCATTAAGAGGAATTGTTGCAAGATGACCCGCTTTTGACACAAATGTCGCGACCATATTTTTCGAAACACTTCGAGAACGGATGACTTTTGTTGGCTTTCCTCACCTTGGAACACTCAAACAGCCGACTGTCGTTTATTTTCTAGTTCATAATAGTAAATCCACGATTCATCACCACTAACAATGATGTACACATTTTTTGAGTTTCCGGAATTGAAACGGTCAAGCGTTTTTTGACACTTATTAACCCTGGCTGCTTTCTGTTCTTCAGTCAGCAGGTGGGGTATCCAACGAGAAACTAATTTTCATACTCCTGATTCTTCATGTAAATTTTTTTGAATTGAGGTCTTTGAGATCTTCACGGACGCCCCAATCTCGCGATATGTCACATGTCTATCTTCAATGATAAGTATGCGCACAGCATCGACGTTTTCCGTTTTTGGTGCACCCACCCTGGGATCGTCGCTAATGCCCGTATCGTCAGTCGTCCCTACAATTGTAGGACGCCTTTATGGCCTCCTTGATTGTCATAGTTTTCTACTTCTCCGTGTCAGCGCTCTATTTTGAGGTTATGTCACAAACATCTATTTGCATCAAATTGTGCTTGCTTTTGAGTTATTTCATGTTTTATCAGCCTCAAATTTCCTACAATTTAAAAGGAAAACATATCTTCACAATAGGAGAGCGCTGACGCTGACACGGGACAAGTGTAATCTAGAAATTTTTGAAGGAGAGAAAGGAGTATGACAATCAAGGAGGCCATAAACGCGCCCTACAAATGTAGGAACGACTGACGATACGGGCCTAAGACTCACGCGTCCATGTTTGAATTCTCCATACCAACGGGAGATTGTCGACTGATGTGGTGCTTCGTTGCCGAAAACAGACAGTAACTCAGCAAGGCATTCTTGTTGCGATAATTGTCTCTGAAAGTTGTAATAAATTATGGCGCGAAAATGTTCTCGGTTGAGTTTCATTTTTCTAATGACTTGATGACACTTAAAAATTCACTATAGTGAGAACACTGCACGTATTGTTGTGAAACTTTGAATTTAAGTTTACTAAAGAGTGAGGTTAAGATTCAGTACTGACGTTCGATCCGCGTGGCCTACCATGTTTCTATATGCAAAACTTAAAAGACTATACAGGGTGTCCGGTAAATAGTACGACAAAAAAGGGGAAGTTAGGCAAAAAGCAGATCTACAACATAGACCCTAGTAAAAGTTTCACTGTTTTTGAGATGTTAATTTTTTTGTCTTTTTTGAATTCTTTAAGAACGGTAGGATTATTTTATCTTTTTGAAGTCCTGATTAGACAGGTAATTTATCGCAGTACTTTGCAGTCTAGCACAGTTTTATTTCATTGCTGAATACCAAAGATGAATAAAATAGATTTATAAAATACAAATTACGAAGAAGAAATTAGTTTGTCTAGTTTACCTACCTACTTGTATTTATCGAAAATGATATTTTAAATGGCAGACCAACTACATGCTTTTTACTCTGAATTGAATTATTCTGTTAATAACATGAATTTTATTATAATTTTATTGTGAGGTCATTAATTATGATTGATTGTTCGACCATCTACTACTGTAATTAAAAATTATTTTCTAATTTTTTGTTCGGTTAGCTATAAAAGCATGTTTTTTTAGTTTTTTTAACCTATTATTTATTATGTAACTCGGCAGTAATAAGTTGAGTGTTTACGTGCATTGGCATGTTGGACCCATGGCTTCATACTTTGGGTTTCTAATTTCGCAACGCGAGCCATAAATTTCTACTGACGCGTAAATAACTACGGTATTATATCCAAAAACATTGTGGAGGGATCATTTTCTCGAAAATTAGGTCTTTTTTCTGTAAGTTGCTTTAGTTCTTGTTCATTTTAATGAGGAATCAAAGAAAATTTGCGGGAAGTTGGTAAAACGTCTTGTAGGCCCTCCTAGTGATACTCCACTGTTTCCTACGTCAGCCAACTTGTTGATTTCAGATACCCAGTGTACCGACGTGCAACATTGCCAGTTCACAGTGTGCTTGTTTGCCGGTTCAGTGTAGCCATTTCTCTTCAGCTCCAAAAAGATGTCCAGTTACCACAAATTAGAGGCCAAAACTGTCCAAGAACTTAAAGATATAGCGAACAAAATCAGAATACATTCTATCACATCGACACAAGCAGCAAAATCTGGGTGAGTCCTGAGAAAATTGGTTTCACTTGGAAAACCTTACAGAAATGTGCACGCTCTCTTTGACAGCGTTGCCATATAGTCTGACCGGTGTTGGTTAGGTTAATTGCTTAAAGGTGGATGTGATGTAAAGCTTATAAATCAAAATTTATTGCAATTGCCATGCATCGAATATATGAATTTGGCCGGACTTTCATTGAAAAGTGTGCTTTTTTAAGACTGATATATACCTACTCGTCCTGAAGTGCAGAGGGCGCACATTGCAGCGCGAAGGCTTATATACAACAATTTAATAGTCATAGACAAAACCATAGATGGGTTAAAATACGTATTTCCTATGAATGTTGTATAAATACAACTTGTCCTAATCATAAGTTCCTAATATTCAACTCTTAATGATTTTGATTATGCCTATGGTGACGCTTATATAAACCAGCCGTAAGTCAACTCGTCAATTATATGCAAAAATAGAAAAATGAAAAAGTTTGTTGCTCTACTAAACTTATGATTGTTCTACTTTGTTGCATGCTGCAATCTGTAAGATATTGTCTTATAATACTTCATTATAGGATACTCAATTTCTGTGAACGTCCCGGTAAAAAAGCTGAAAATGAGCTGATTCCAATCCATATTATGATTCTTATGTTGATTGAAAGTGAAATGAGTTGTTAGCTGCAGGAATAAATTCATAATTGGACAAACATTGAGGAATAGATGACATAAACTTGTAGCAGTTATTTGTGACATTTAATATGATAAATAAAGCATGCCTCTAGTTGCAGTTTACTTTTCTAATAGATGTAGTTTAGGTCACATGTCGGTAATACAAACATGTGAGACATTGACATCGAAAGGAGTGAATAGCTAACGTCTTTCAGCTTCAGTCTGGTGTATGCTTTGGATATTGTACAGTCAGTACTATCCCTAGATAAGAGAAAATTGGAGCTGAATAAGGGTGCCAATAGTTTCCTTTATTTTCCCTAACTTTCGAGAAATGCACGCCATTTATCTTGCGTTCTCGTGTACATATGTTATTTAAAGTTTTTTTTGTATAACTTCTTCGTTTTATCGGAATATGGCAGTCGGTTAAATTTGGAATATTCCTTATCTACAATGTGATACCAATATCAAAGTGATATGAACTTTTATCAGATCATATATATGAAATTATCCTGTTATGCAAGGGTATTAGATAACTTTGGCGTATTTTAATAAATATATATATATATATATATATATATATATATATATATACATTTTTATCAATATTGAACAAACCTCATTTAATTTTTGATGGGGTCATATCTTGCAAAATATGTCATCATTCTGATAAGACTACTCTACATCTGTTTGAGTCACCCTGTGTATTTTCTCTGGATCATAGTGTTCTTTTTTGGTATCTGTGACTTTGTGTTGACTCTGAACTGGGAATTATTCTAGTATGAAGGTTTAAAATGACCTTTAAAATATTATTATCGTTAACACGTTATCGCCATATTTTTCCATTAATGTTATTTTAAGAGCTCTATATAAGTCATAAGAGAGTATTTAAATTCGTTTAGTCATAAGTTGTAACAGCAAACTTGACATAATTATCACATGTCGATAATTTTGTTACTTTAATAATGTTTAAAAACGTTGAATATATGACATCAACTTTAAGAATCTGTAAGATGAATCAGTTGAGCTCGACGACTAGTATTTCTATGAAATATTGTAGTACAATCTATTCATTTCCCAGGCATAGGCTATGGATTTAATAGCATTCATAGGCGCCCGCAGGAATTTGTTACAGGGGATCCATCCTCGGCAAAAGGCAACTTTTTGTGAAAGTGTATCAAGTCTCAAAACTTTTTGATGAGCGGGGATCGCAAATTTTCTCACGGGCCAAATCCTAAAAATCCTAAATATTGTAAACAAAACCATGCTAAATATGCAAATTTTAAGGCCCAACCGGGTCACCAGGGGGGGCTGGCCTCTCGCTAGCCGGCGCCCTTGATAACATTTAGTGTCAGTACTTTTCGACTCACATATTTGTAATTATAATCTAATCGTGTATTGTGAATTGAAATGCATAATTCAAAAAAATTTCCAGCATGCATAAAATGTAATGTATTTCTCAATATCTGAAATGGTATACCTGTCGTATGAATGGTATTGCAAATTGGTCTCTTTTAATAAAAAATCATCATACAATGAATTGGACCTATTACATAGAAAAATGACATAATTCTATCTCTACCTAATATGTATCCAAAGGCATATTGTCAGAGGTGTAATGACATAGCCGATCTTCTAGTAAGAACAACGAGTATAAATCTGTCAATCGAGCTCCGAGCTCCAAAAATTTAAAGTAACATCGTGAATTACTGACCTATCTAGGTGGGATAGAATCGATGCAATCGAGCACCTTAATCTAGGCGGAGCATTTTAATAGAAAAGTTTTTGGACGCTGGCGAAAAGTTCGGCAGAACACTTCATTTGGCTGAAAATAGAGTTAGCGATTTCTCAATATGTCCAGAGAGATAAAAGTATTAAGTGCATGCTGAAGACAAACATTTTTCAACGCTGAAGGATTTTCAGATTAGATTTTCAATTATACTCGTTCCTTAATGAATATTCTCTCGACATTAGTCCAGTGAATGTTGGATGTTTTCCACGCACAAATGGTTGGCGAGCAGTGTCACACGATTTGTTAAACCAGCCGTTGGAGCCTGGTTTAGACACTTTCACTGTGTGAGGGATGTATTCCTCCATTTCCACGTGGATAATTTCGGTTATCGAAGATCAGACAGCCGACGCATCCGCGTCAGTGAATTAGACATCTCACCCAGGAAAGCTAGAGAAGAAGTCTCTGAGCCCCTCCCAGTCGGCATGTCCGTAATGCCAAGTTTTGCGGCCTGTACGTTTTTCTGCTGCCCCAGCGGGTTCTGGCCGAAACCTAACCTACACAACACCGTGGTCTGAGTTACCCAGGGGGGTCAGGACAGCAGTGCTGTAAGGGACATTATGCGTGGCCAGAAAGAGATCCAGCAGGCTACTGGCGTGTGGCGAGACACGGGGGAAAAAAGTAGGGCTCGTCACCAGATGGGTCAGCCCTTGAGTAAGAGCGAACGCTTCGGCTGCACGACCTGCTGCATCGGTCTTGTTTGAGCCCAACCAAAGCTCATTCTGGGCATTGAAATCACCGAGAAGAACTACCTCTGAAACGGGGTGATTGATGTTCAGGAAGTCGATCTGGACGGTGAGGTATTCGAGTAGGTCATCCTAGTTATGATCCGAGGGAGAGCGATAAAGGCAGCAAATAAATTTAGGTGATGTTTTGGAGTTGCGGCGAAGCCACAGAATGTCCTTGCGGTCTGATTCCAAAGAAACATCTCTGGAGCAGGAAAGACTGCTGTGGACAAAAGCCACAACTCCCCCGTTCTTTCTCAGATTGGAGTTTCACCTCGTAGTTTGGGAAGTTAAGATGGTTAATCGGTGCAGACTCTGAGATTTTTGTCTCCATCAAGAAAAGAACGGCGGGATGGTTGGATTGCAGGTAGTGATGAACAGCGTCAATGTTGCTGTTAATCCCGTAGATGTTCGAAAAACAAATTTTATCTTCGATGTTGTTCATTCGAGCCCGCCCTCCACCCGAACATTCCGAGAGTGGAGTGAATTTACGTCCGGAGTTCTTAGTGCTCGAGACACCCTGGGGAAAAGCTAGCGGGTGGTACCGCCTCGGTCGACTGGTCCTTGTCTACCACCTTCTTTTTACGTATTAGTGATATTAAATAGACCTAAAGCGGCCCGTTGGCGGACTTGTACCGCCACCCGCCAATCGGTACTGAGGTATTCCTAACGCGTCACTTGAACGGAGAAGTTGAAAACTGGATACAACAACTTCCGGAACAAGCATTTGCCACGGCCCCGCTCAGTAGGGGCTCATGAAAGATACAAAACGTGTTCGGAGGTTTATATCATTAGTTAAAAGGAACGTTTTATATTAGTAACAGTCTTGAGCGTACGAAGTCACGGGTAACAGCTAGTGCAAAATAAAACATCTGTATCGCATGACGGTCACAGATTAAGTGGGGCGGATGAAAAAATTTCACGTTTCTGCGTATTGTGGACCAGACGTAGCGCGGACAGACTATTCATATATAGAGATTGGGAAGTCCATGAGTGTCGAAAGGACTCTTAAATCTTTGGACGAACCATACGCAATTGCAAATCTGGTCGTCAGGACAACGTTTTTCAACTGCATGTAGTGCTTTTTCGAAGCTTTAATCAACAAGGTATGTTCACATATGCCTCGCAATATTCACGATAATTCTATAATTTATTCATAGAGTCACACCAAGAACTGAGCCACATCCATTGTCGTATATGGTATTTGTAAACAGGATGGACAATCAAAATTTAATTGGACACTCGATTCCCGAGACAGCTCTACCTGGATCTATCTGTACTGATAAACAAACAAATTCGATGGACATATACATATGTGCATTTGAGCCTAATTGCTATTCAGCTACAGCGAATTGTTGATGGATGGAAATCCTGAGCTAAAATACAAAACCGAGATATTTTATTTACTATCTATAATTTGTGATTGCGGGGCTTGTTGTGTTTGTTTGACCTCATCATGTCAGTATTCTGGTATACAGGATATCTGTTGCATACACAAATAGGCATGAAAAATCGATAATTACAATTTTTTATGTCAAAAGGTACGAACTCGAGATGGTAAAACCGATTTCGGCTCACGACAGGTTGACATCTTTTGATGATATTCGAATTCAGCTCCCCAAATTATCTGAGTGCCTTAAATTTCGGTCGATTGTAGCAAAATTAAACAAAAACAAAAATAATAGGGGGTCGGTTTTTGCCAAATATTAGGTTTGGTTAGAAAATCAGATAATTAGTTGCGATGCTTTTGTTCGTTGACCAAGCCTAGACCATGCTGATGAGTAGCCAAAAAGCATGAAATAGCTGTCCACGGTTAGCTGTCTTTTGGTCGGACTGACGAAAGCATCATGTTTGGTTTATTCAATGGCAAGTAGAGCAGATCTACTATACAGCCAGAATCGTCAGACATCTAGCGGTCACATGGCGACTGGGCTACTAAACGCGAACTGATATCTTTACAGTTCCACCAAATAGCTGCTATCCGCTCTCCGTAGTGGTCGATTCAGGTGATAGATGGCGCTTTGCATTGTCTTATTTATACATTTATTTTAAAAATTATATTTGCTTTAAGTGACTATCTAGTCGTTCTTATGTATTACGTTTTGACTTCTTAGTCCCCCTTTGACGTCGCACCTCCATTTTTTCAACTGCCTGTTTGGCGGAGCACCCTTAATACTTTTCATCTGAGTAGTCCATGGTATGTACGGGTACTTACATTTTTCATTCTTAGGTACGTACCTTAACTTTCAGGTCAAGGTCACAGATTTCCTGCTTTTTAATTTCCAGTATACAAGTGCGAGGTTTGGTTTGGAATTTACGACTTGATCTTGAAGATCATGCTCAAAGTCACCTTTGGGTGATCCCCACCAACCTCACATCTGTGCTGTCGGAACATTTTTACTAGAGCAAATTATCTTCAATGCCTTGCTTAGACAGTGAAATGGCCTTGAACGAAATAAGCAAGGTGATGGTCACATGCGATTTATGACCCTGAAATGACTTTGATAACATTTTTTTTTCAGACATCCAACATCATGCTCGTCGATAGCAGAGATCCTCTCCGTACTTTTCTTCAACACCATGCGGTACAAAGTGTCAAGTCCAAGGGACCCCTCAAACGACAGATTTGTCCTTTCCAAAGGTCACGCAGCTCCTGCCTTATACGCAGCCTGGGCTGAGGCCGGGCTGTTCCCTACAACTGACCTCCAGAACCTCAGGAAGATTGACTCTGACCTCGAAGGTCATCCCACGCCTAGGTTAAATTTCATTGACGTTGGAACTGGATCTTTGGGACAAGGGTTATCTATTGCTGGTGGTATGTCCTTTGTTGGGAAGTACTACGATAAAGCTAGCTATAGGTAAGGACTCTTTAAACAGCGTACAGTTTTTTTATATATAGCAATAGCGAATTCGCAGATTTGATGTTGGTTTACAGTATCTTCAAGATGCTTCTGATGCTTCATCAGTGTATTCAGGTTATACTTCTGGACATTTTCATCTCGCGCCGCGTAGGTTTCTTTATCTCGTACAAAAGCCGTTTCTAAGAACGTGTAACTGGGTAGAGTAGAAGACTTAGGATCACATTTATAAGCATTCCTTCAGGATTAATTGCTAGTTGAGGAATTATCTCTCTTTGAATTTTAAACAATCACGCTTTCTTGAGAAACATTCAAATGAGGATTTGACATACGCATTTCACAGTAGGCTTTAGCAGTTGGCATCACATGTTATCCTAATTTGGATTACAATTTCAAAAATTTACACCATTGTCATTTTCAAAATTTTCATACCATCAAAATCTTCATTTTTTTCAAATCCGAAAAGTGTAAAGATTTCGAAAATTTCGAAAATATTGCAAATTATGAAAATCCAAATTTTAACAACCTATCATCATAAGTTCTACAGCCTACTCCGAAATGCAAATGTTAAGCCTTCCCTTGAACGATTGAAATCCAAATCAATCGTAAAGGAACGTTTATAAATACATACAACTTTGGAAATTAGAAATTTGCAAATTTCGGAAATAGTTAACATTCGTGTGTTTTTCAATTGAACGTCGAAATTTCCAACAATATTTATAACATGTGACAGGGCCGTACTTGAAATTTCTTATCAAATGATCAACAATTCTTTTAGTTTTTCTCTGCTATCTTACCGCAACTAGCTTTGTCATTCCACATATACTCCAAACTATCGGAACACTTGGTACATATATAATACCTTGTTGCTTAAAGAACATATCGTGCTAAAAAATTACACTAATAGCAGCACTGCGGTACCGTTCTTTGCGCTTAAAATGCGAGTAACACTTTTCACTTGGACTTTTTATTATTTTCAGAGTGTACTGCTTGGTTGGAGACGGCGAGAGTGCAGAAGGATCTATTTGGGAATCAGTACACTTTGCTAGTCATTATAAACTAGACAATCTAGTAACCATATTCGATGTCAACCGTTTGGGCCAGAGTGAAGAAACGTCCCTAGGACACGATGTGGAGACGTACCGAAAACGATTGGAGGCATTTGGAATGAACGCTATCGTTGTAGATGGACATGATGTTGAAGAACTGGCAAAGGTAAGAGCAAAACTAAAACATCTCAGAAGGAGAAACCGGAACACTTTGTGATCGGATTGCATTTAAGAATACTGGTTTTTCGAATTCTTAAAGTGCAGCGTCCGCTTTATATTAATAAGTTCTAGGTTCGACTGATGCTATATATTGTTTTTTATATATTTTTTTGTCATTTTTCCTTTGTCGAGTTTTTTATACATTGCTTTTCAACCTATAACTTGGAGTAATATTACGCAAAGAATAGCAAACTGACAGCTGCTTTGTGTCTATTTTATAATCAGAATTCAATGTAGATTCATTTAACTTATTCAAAAATTGTTCTTAGTTATTTATTTACCACATGTTCAAGTTGTATCACTGTGGTTAATAAAGAACTAAAGAACGATTTGTTTTTCGATAACTTCCTACACAATTAATGATCAATCCATCTTTCTTTGATCGTTTTTCTAGGCATTCCATTCTGCATCGTCTACACAAGGTAAACCAACCGCCATTGTAGCAAAGACCTTCAAGGGCAAGAACTTTCCGAAAATAGAAAATTTGGAGAACTGGCATGGTAAACCTTTAGGCGATCAGGCAGATAGAGTTTTACAACACCTCAAGTCACTTATTGTAAATCCAGGACCAGTACAAATCAAGCCTCAAAACCTTTGAAGGACGATGCTCCTAAAGTCGACATCAGCAACATCAAACTAAGCTCACCTCCGAGCTATAAACTAGGAGAACAGGTAAGGAATTGGTCTATAACTTTCAAAACTAGGGTTGAAGAATCAAGCAGAATATGTAATTAATATAAAATATTGTGTATTTTATATTAATTTTAACGAATGTACCATGTATCCAGCTTTCACCCGGCTACTAAATGTTTCCCTCAACCTAACCGTTAATAACATTTATCAACAATCACACATACTAATGTAAGTAATTTAAAATCATTTTGCACAATGGTTGCTATTTCTTCTCAATGTTACTGCAGCTCCTGATGAAGATGGCAAAGTCCATTGAAAGCTAGAGACTAATAAAGTATAAAGAGTCCTCATTGCTTGAATTTTGTCGAAGTACCCAACTAAAGGCGGAAGCTTTATTGTTCACCCATATATATATATATATACACTCGTATAGTAGCAATAAGCCCGGACAAAACCGAAAACATGGTAACTTTGTCATGTATCGAAAAGTAACAATAGTCGAGGAATTTTAAAAAATCGAAACTTTTGATCGAAAAGGAATAAATAAATAAAAAAGATGCTATCCAAATATCCGATGCCGGAGCTTTTTCAGGTAAAAATCGCTAGGTTCGTAGCTCCGTTATCTTCGGAGGAGATAGAAATTGAATATCGAACAGCACGTTTGAGATCCAAAAAAGGCCAATATTCGGACGTCTGAAAATTGTTTATTCGGAACGGGTGTCCTAAACGGAAAAAACTCTTTCTCGGTAATTTATAGTATTCGTCGAGATGTACAGAATGGGCTATGCAAAATTTCTTATCTCTCTGCCGGCTTTTTAACAAGATATTAGTCATTTTTAGAGAAAAGAGTAAAATGCGGATTTAAAACTGACTCGGAAAATACGAAACGCCCATCATTTGACTATCTAATGCGACTGATCCTGATTCGATATTTTGCGAAATGACGGAACAACGGCAGAAATCGTTCGGGCGATACGCGAAAATCTACCCTTTTTTCGACTTTGACAGCCGTTTTAAAACGTTCTTGGTCCTCGTACCTCGACGGTTTGTAATCGCTCGTAAAGCGCTTAGTTTCTAGTTTCCGAAACGGTATCTTTTTCCGATAAAACCTTTCGCGAACCGTCAAAAAAAATCGGAAAAACTGCGCCGATGTCGGAACGGCCCGATCCAGACTCGAGAGGGGTGAAGTGAAAAAAAAACAAAAGATCACCGCTTAATATAGTCGATATCCGTCACTCATTAGTCGAAACAAGTTGTATGCAAAAAAGCAACTTAATGTAACCCTGAAGTTGATGATCAAGGTCGTTTTAAGGTTAAATAAATGTTTTTAATATGAATAGCCACTTGTATCCCCGAAATGGAAATTTTCAAAATGCTCTTCTCCTGTGACCACCCGACGTTAGCAACTTACATCTACAAGCTCGGTAACGATATGGATCGCATATACATACGTTTGTTAAAACTTGTAAGATAAGGGTAAGTTGAGATGCCGCGCATTTATCTAACGCTCGCTTTTGAAACATGCAAAATTAATTCCTACGACACCCCTAGACGCGCTATTCCATGTGAACAACCCGTATGAATTCTGTGTACTTTAAAAGTGAACGTTGAACAAACGCGCGTCTGGCACGCGTCATCTGAACTTACCCTTATCTTCCAAGTTTTGACGACACATGCACGCGATCCATAGAAATATGCTAGGTTTGCGTTCTTCAAATCCAATTTTGTAAACAAATAGCTCGTTTTACTTACGTGGCCTTGAAGCGGCCTATGCGCTGGCCGGAATGCCTGTAATTTCACGATTCATTCATTTACACGTGGCGCCTGCGTTGGATATTGATGCACGTCGTACATACAAGAACTATGCTCCCAACTTTAAAAATACCCTATACAGATAAAGATAGGTTCATCTATTAGGTAGATGCTGTTGTCTTCAATATTTTTCTTTTTTTAGATCGCAACTAGGGTAGCATATGGTAACGCCCTGGTCAAGATAGCTGAAAGTAACTCCAGGGTTATCGCTTTGGACGGAGACATGAAAAATTCCACATTTTCTGAAAAAATGAAGAAAGTTGATGCCAGCAGACATATAGAATGTTTCATTGCTGAACAGAGTCTTGTTGGTACTGCCATTGGAGCTGCATGTAGAGATCGTACCGTGCCTTTTGTATCCACTTTTGCCTGTTTTCTCACCAGAGCATTCGACCAGGTATGTACTAATCATATCTATAGCATGAACAGCCGTTTTTCTGGCGTAGAACTGAATTCGACGTTAGTTTGATAAGCTCGGCCCCATAACCCTTCAGCCTTTTTTATTATAGTTGTACTCGAATTCAGCCCCTCAAACTACCTGGGTATACAAAGTTTCATTCGTTTGTATCAATGGGAGATTAAAATGTAAATGTTTTTCTATAAAGTCCCCTAATGATTTTTCAAAAATATTTGCATTCTGTGAACTTAGGTAAAGCTTATTCCTTGAGCGAATTGATTCGGGATCCAACGCCAACTTAGCACTAGGACCAACGAGGACTAAATCGACCAAAATGACTTTTATGAGTCCTTTTTTTTCCAAAGGACAAAATCTTCCAGATGACGTTAGAAATCTACAATTCAGTAAATATTGAGCTGCTACAATTTAAAAACCGATATGTGCCCCTAGCAAAGCCAATGCTCAATTTTTGATAGACCTTACACGGAACCCTATCGATATTTCAACTGAAATGGAAATAAAGTAATATTTGTTTTCTTCGGTACCCTGGCAAATTCTAATAGATCAATCCAAGGAAAAATGTTTAAAGAAAATACAAATGTAATTACTTGAAAGCTAACGTTTTGCTGTGAGCTCGGATTTTAATTTTAACGTCGGCGACCGATGTCCACAAAGCAAGGAGCCGCCACGACTCTTGAGTGTCAGTGTGGGTAAAAGGAATTTGGCATCGCATGTAAATAATCACGACGTTTGGATAATAATATAATAAAATAAATAATTACAAAGAGCACAGCCACCTTATATTTATTATAACACTGATTGAAGAAAACTTAGTTTTTAGATAAATTGGGTGTGTACTCGTAAATTCCTGATATGATTTTGAAGCTCGGACCAACAGCAGCAGTAAGAATTGGATTCCACGTCACTTTAGATTTTTTTTTGTTTGATAATCATAATTGAACACTGTAAAAGGGCGAAAATGGTAATTTTACACAGCCGTGTAGCATATCATGAAAACCTCCTCAAACATTCTTTGACATCTATGCTCTGATTCCAATTTATCCTTGAGCCGCAAAGCTGAATTTAGAGAGGAAGCAAGAGGCGCGCGTTCAACCACTAAACACCCAAGTCCGCCATTTTTTTTTCAAGAAAATGGTATCTTAGTGTGAAAATTGCCGCACCTGAATCGTGAACCGTCCGGTCCCCCTAGACGTATCTCACTCCCCGCTCTTCAACTGTCACAAGGGCATTTGCTATCAGGAGCGCAGTTTGAGAACTCAAGGTGACACGTCCCTTTTTTTAGATTTTTTTTCAACTTCCTGTTTGCAGCTGCCTTCTAAATCCTTTTCCTCCGATAACTTCATGGTGTGTATAGGGATGTCTAAAAAACAATGTTTTCATTTTTTTGTCAAAAAAATGCATTTTTTCTTCAATCGGAACTTGTTAACAAATATAAGCACAGCTCTAAAATTTTGTGTGAATATTCCTCTTTTATGGAAGAATGAAACAAGTGATTACTTTTGTACTTACCACTTCTCCCATTCGAAAAGTATTTGGTTTTCTTGAAAACTCAACTTGCTACGAGACGAGGCTACAAGAAAATCAAAGATTTTTTGAAAAGTAATCACTTGTTTCATTCTTACATAAAAGAGTAATATTCACGCAAAATTTCAGAGCTGTACTTATATTTGTTAATAAGCTCCGATTGAAGAAAGAATCCACAAACATGCATTTGTTGACGAAAAAAATGGAAACATTGTTTTTTCGTCATCTCTATACGCACCATGATTATCAGATGAAAAGGATCTGCAATACTGCTGCAAATAGGAAGTTGAAAAGAAATCTCAAAAAGAAACGTGCCACCTTTAACCGCCAAACATCTTCCATGATGACTTCTGCGCTCCTCCCCATGGACAAATTCCTAAATATGCCCTTGTTGAGCCGAGAGTTAAACCATATCATCACTTGAAACGCACATGTACATTTTCAGATTAGGATGGGCGCTATTTCTCAAACCAACGTGAACTTCGTCGGTTCCCACTGTGGAGTAAGCATTGGAGAAGATGGTCCTAGTCAGATGGGTCTGGAAGACTTGGCGATGTTCAGGTCGATCCCCGGCAGCACTGTATTCTACCCAGGAGATGCAGTTTCGACAGAACGTGCTATCGAACTTGCTGCTAACACCAAGGGAGTCACCTTTACCAGAGTCAACAGGCCTAACACTGCTGTCTTATACCAGAATAACCACCAGTTCGCTGTAAGTGCTCCTTCAAAGCCGCAAAGTAAATAAGGGTCACATTTATAGACGTGCCTTGATGATTGAGTCCCATTTGAGGAATGAACCATCCTTGGGTTTCAACAATTACTCTTCCTTAACATTTTCATTCCACAGTTCCACAGTTGTCACAGATTTTCAAAACTTGGAAGATTTTCAGACTTATTGAAACTTTCCAATAAAATGAATCATTTTTTTACCGCCCTCCAAAGTTGAGGGATTTAAGAGATTTTTCACAAAAAAATAAAATTAAGATTTTTTGCGTTGATTTCTAATAAGCTCTGTTAAAAGGTGACATAACCATTGCTAAAACTAACCATTTAGCTCAAAAATTTCAATCCCCTAAAACTAATCGCTTGGTTGTAATTGCGATTGAAAGTTCATTATCCCGTTTTTACGAAATTTTACAAAATTGCAAATATCTCCTGAACTATAAAATTTCGAACCACACATATAGGGGTTTATCGATCGTTCGTTGATCCACTACTAACTTTACACCCTGAATAATATGCTTTCGACCTATCTGGCAACCCTGTACGGCACCCGTCGCGGCCGCCTGTGTGTGTTATGATGGATACTCTAAGATGAAATTTGCTTTTTCTTCCAATTCTAGGTCGGCAAAGCCATTGTACTGAGAAAATCCGATAAGGACAAGGTAGTCCTAATAGGAGCCGGCGTGACCCTTCACGAGGCCTTGTCAGCAGCTGACCAACTAGCTAAGGGTGGCATTGGTGCCAGAGTCATTGATCCCTTCACAGTCAAACCCTTGGATGCAGAAACCATCATCCAGAACCTCAGAGAAGTCGGTGGTAGAGCGGTAGTTGTTGAAGATCACTATCCTGCTGGAGGTTTAGGAGAGGCCGTATGCGCAGCTGTATCTCTGGAGAAAGGAATTATCGTGAAGCATTTGGCTGTGCCAACCATTCCAAGATCTGGACCTCCAGCTGTCCTTCTGGACATGTATGGCATTTCTGCTAAGCACGTTGTTGCCGCGGCCCAGGAAATTTTAAAGTTGTAATTTTGTTGTTCAAGCTTAAAGCAGTTGTTGTAATTTTATCATTCCGCGTCATTCCAAATTTTGTAAGGTTTATATGGAAGTTAATAAAATTATTGATTGATGGTTATCAGTGGGTTTTATTAAAAAAATGTTGATTAATTTAGTCCTTTCCACGCATTCATATTTTAAACTTCTCATACAAAGCCATTTACATTTTTATGACTACGACCTAAAGTCATGGGCGTGCCAAGAGGGATTCAGAGGAGGCGCACCTCCCCAGACGTCCAATTCTGCCATTTATTCATTTTGTCTCTTTGCGTAACAATTACGTAGCTAGACCTGAATTGCGAGACGTATCCCACCCCCGTTCTTCAATTCTCACAAGGACATTCGCTCTCAAAAGCGATGCTTAAATACTGAAGCATACAGCTGCCACCCCTCCCTCTCGTCAATTTTTACTCGCCGAAACTCCCCCCGAGACGATCATCTTCCCGAACATAAATGCTGTGACTTCGGCTAATATGATTGAATTTGTATGTAATGTATCTAAGCATCCTGAGCAAAGGGCACATACCCCGAAGCTCCACGGGTCTTAAGATATGCTCCATAGCTGAGAAGAACCGATATATCATTACACCGACTCAGACGGCCTATATCTTGGGAGCCGCAGTGTTTTGAGCTTTGTGTCTATCGAGGTTCTTCCTCGGGATGCCGAGATGCATATCATTTCACAGATTCAGTGATACTAATACGTTCACTGCGGGACAATTTTTTGTTTACGACTCGAATAACTATACCAGCCACATGTATCAGGTATCTGGATATTAAGGAAAACTTAAGCTTAAACGAGCGCTTGAATGAACGAATGAATGAGAAATTAGAGACATACCGGCCATCATAAAGAGCGACGTATAGGCCACATCTCGGGCCCTTATGCACCACTACATTCCCTCAGCCTCAAGCTCCGTCCTTCTAGCAAAGTTCAGCTCCTTAACATTCCGGAGATCCAAAGTGTTGGACCCCAGTATAGTCTGCCTGTTAGCTCAGAGCCTCACAACGAGAGCTACCTCGGCTGACACGTCCCCTGTGAAGGGACCTAGCCCAGCGCAACAGCTGCCGACGGTCCGGATTGCCTCTGGTCAGACCCTTTATTTGGTGCCTGACCTACTTCGACAGGTATCGCCCCGATAACTGTATGTTTCTTTTTGCTCGGGAGTGTACACATCCGAGCTTCCCCCACAGCACAACCAGTTGCCATACTTCTCAATCATCCAGCTTATGGAATCCACACCGAGAGAACAAGTCGGACCCCTTCTTCACCTCCAGTAGCTTCCACGTGTACGAGAGTTGTGTTTCCGGAGCCTCCTCGTGATGACCTCGTCCTTCAAACTAGGACGTGGGAACCAGGTCATCACGCGATGGTAAACAGGAAGGTCACCAAAGCTCCTTGTAAAGAGCCTAGCACCTTTCCGCGGCCTCAAATCCCAAACGTGGCCCACCAACCATGCACTCGAGGACTCGCCCTCACAGACAAAGATGGCTGCCCCTCGAGAGGTAACAGTCAATGTACCTCGGAAGGGCCGCCTCATCTGGGAGCCCATCTATCAGCACCTGTGCCTCGATAAATTGTGTCCGGGGATAGCTATCGGGTACAATAGCTATCCTGAGACACACTTGAAATGCAAAATGCGCCCTCTGGCGTCTCACCGGCAGATATCTACCGCTTCCGTTTCGTGCCCCACGCCAACCGCACCTCTTTCCGCTACCGCAGCTGCGAATTGAGATTTTAATTTTTAGACAGACCACCCGTTCAGCGAGGCCTTTGTCATATTCCTTTGTAAAGGAAAGGTCGGTATCTCCAGGTGCGGGCCGCCTGGAAGCTCGGGGTTCCCTGTTGCGGGGACCTTGGGGTTTTTGTTTTATATCACTGTGGTTCATATTGTTCACACGAGTATGGGGGAAGTGTTGGTCGACGTCCGCGGTGCTCTCTATACGGTTAGATACTCTAGATCGCCCGGTGTCCCACCGGCAGATACGAGTATATGCCGTTTCCGTTTTGTGCCCCATGCCATCCGCCCCGCTTTCCGCTACCGCAGCTCCGAATTGAGATTCCTTCTTAATTTTTAGAAAGTCCACCCTTTCAGATAGGCCTTTGTCAGATTCCTCTATCAAAGTAAGGTCGGTGTCCCCTGGTGCGGGCCGCCCGGATGTTCGGGGTTCCCTGTTGAGGGGACTTCGGGGTTTTTGTTTCACTGTCGACGTCCGCGGTGCTCTCTGTACGGACATAAGATTAGATACTCTGGAAGGTCGCCCGGTGTCCCACCGGCAGATACTCGTATCAGCCGATTCCGTTTCGTGCCCCACACCATCCGCGCCTCTTTCCGCTACCGCAGCTCCGAAATGAGGTTTATCCATAATTTTCATTTCAAGTCCACCCTTTCAGCGAGGCCTTTGACAGATTCATCTGTCAAAGTGCGGTCGGGACCCCTGATGCGGGCCGCCGGATATTCCGTGTCCCTGTTGGGGAGACCTCGCGGTTTTTGTTTTTATCACTGTGATTCATAATGTTCCCACGAGTATGGGGCAAGCTTTGGTCGACGTCCGCAATGCCCTCTGCACGGATGCAAGGTTAGATACCCTGGAAAGTCGTCCGGTGTTCCAGAGGCTCCGTTTGAGACAGTGCATCCCCACCGCCACGCACCTCTCGGCACGGAAGCGCATCACACCTTGGGTTGGGTAGTGCCCAGGATGACCATTGAGCTGCGGGGGTCCCCGACATACGTCCGAGACACCTGTGACCCAACAAATCATCTGATTAGTCGAGTAACTAGCTTTTCGGCGCCCCGGTTTATTAGGGAGACCCCAAGTGTCCAAAAGTCAAACCATAAATTTGATCAGGACGTCGTGACATATATCATAAAAGATTCAGCTATATGAACCAGAACCACTCTTCTGACGTAAATGTCACATATTATGTGACACGTTGAATTTTGGGGGTTTATGCCATGTAAAATATTTTTTCATACATGACATTTCACAAATTTAGTCGTATTAACTGAAATCACTTTTCTAGGTGCAGCTTTTCTAGAGCAGAGTAAAACCGATACCCCATAATGTATATCTTGAGTCTCTTTTTTTATGCTACAACTACCACGAAGGCCTAAGGCCTAAACACCCATGGGGTACCGTGGGGCTAAAGGTGGATACAGGGGAAAGGGGCGACGCCACATGGACTCTAGCGATAAAGCAGATAAAATTGTTAATGGTTAATATTTTGAGACTCGTTGTGATTTGGGGCTTGCCTATCGAAACATTTGTTCTGAACGCCGAATTACATAACATATAAAAAAATCAGCGACATTAATTAAAACCACTTTTCCTATAGGCGTGTGCTGCAGGGTGTTTTGCTTATAGCCTGTTCTTCGAAAAATTTTGGAGGCATATACGTAATCATTATATAAGAAAACATTCTTCTTCCCGATATCTTATTGCCCCTCTGCGGACGCCCATGTCCGAGCCGGGAATTCGATGCTCTAGCGGTCGACGCCATAACACACCGGGCTACCCAGATCCAACCCTCTTCTCTTTCCATTGCGTTAGGCACGGGGAAAACAAAAAAACGTGGTACATTCAGGTAATTTGAGACGCAAGGATTTTTGACAAATTTTATATAAATTGGAATTTCTCCTGATATCTTGATAAGCGGACATTGCTGGACTGAATTGGCCCAGGGTTCAGTTCCAACGAACCCTGTCAAAACCAATGTTGGGCTTACATTCCTGGCTGACTCATTTTTGGCCATTTTTGTTAACCAGTTTATAACTAAGAATAAAACGCTATAAAGACGCTTCAAATGAAGTTGTTGTGTACGAATCTGGGCCATGTTAGGATGTACATCTTATTTTTTTGTAAAAAATTGCAAAACTATGCGACGTTTACGTAATCGGTAATGGGTAGCATGTAGATACGAACGAAGCTTGGCGCAATTAGGAGTAAGGCTTAGGCATAAGCATTTTTTACCAAAAAATTGATAACATTGTTTAAAAGTATCACGAATACTTCTTCAGATAGACTGTTGAAGAAAGGGATGCGCGACCTTAAAAAAAGAAGTCAATTCACTGCCAATTGGCAAATTGAGTCCGCTTAATTGACACAAGAGGCACGACACATAACGAGTAATTCGAGCCAGTATAATTTTCACTCATTGTCTGCTTAAAAATATCAACGAGCTCAAAGTCATGTCTTCAATTACACGACAATGCTGTCAATTGTGCTTGGTTGAATTAACATGATAACATTTATCTGCTTTCCGTGTTATCAGGGCCGACATAAAAATTGCTAAGCATTCACAACGTGCAAATTTCATGGAAATATCGAGATATCCAGAATGCCAAATGCTAAGGATGATAAACCATAAACAACCACAATATGTTTATATTTTATACCACGAAGCTGAGAAGCTGCCGATATTTAGCTCTATATTAAAACTACAGTAGATTAGACGTATACCGAGGATCTCTTTTCTCTCTCTTTTTTTATACTTGAAACACCACGAAGGTCTGAAGCCTGAACACCCCTCTAGCGAGAGATCACGAGTGCATGCAACATGCACACATTCTGGCCCCGCCTTAAAGATCCGTCGATGTTCGACAGTCAGGGACTGTCTACTACGTACGGACAATCACAGTATCCATAGCCTAGACAAAAATTCTCTTGGGACGGGATTCGAATCCACGCAGCGCACGGCGACAGCCGGTCATCAGAGGTGGTATAAATGGCAACACTGGCTTGCCCTGCAACATGCCCTCCTATCCCCAGACTCGAATCACACAAATGACACAGCATTTGAGTCAGAAAGAGCATCGACTAAGAAAACCTCATCAGGTAACACTATACCGGTCCTGACATTTACACTATCTGCGATGCCTCATCTGGGTAATACACGTTGTAACATACTGTATATGTGTGTCTGTTATTCTAGAGGATATGCTCTTTCCATAAAACTAGCCTGCACTTACAATATACCAATATATGGAAAAAATGAAGCTTATTATTTTAAACGTCTCAATATTTGATGGAACTATGCAGAACAACCCTTGTTGTGCTTGATACAAATGTGTCACATCGCAAGAT